ATCTCAGGGGGATCTCAACAGGGAAAGGGGGGGGGAAGATCTCAGGGAGGAAAGGCAGAAGATCTGGGGAAAAAAAGTCCTTAGGGGGGAAAGGGGAGAAATGATCTCAACAGGGAAAGGGGTGGAACAGATCTTAGGGAAAGAGAGAAGATCTGGGGAAAAACAGGCCAACAGGGAAAGGGTGGAAAAGATCTTAGCAAGGAAAAGGGAGAAGCTCTCAGGCGAGAAGGCCTTAGGGGGGAAAGGGTGGGAAGGATCTCAACAGGGAAAGGGGGGAAAAGATCTTAGGGAGGAAAAGGGAGAAGATCTGGAAAGGTCTTAAGGGGGAAGGGGGGAAAGGATCTCAACAAAAAAAGGGGAGAAAAGATCTGAGGGAGGAAAGGGAGAAGATCTGGGGAAAAATGCCTTAGGGGGGAAAGGGGGGAAAAGATCTTTGGGAGGAAAAGGGAGAAGATCTCAGCGGGGGAAAGGCCTTCGGGGGGAAAGGGGGGAAAGGATCTCAGCAGGGAAAGGGGGGGAAAGATCTTAGGGAGGAAAGGGGGAAGATCTGGGGGCAAAGGCCTTAGGGGGGAAAGAGGAGAAATGATCTCAACAGGGAAAAGGGTGGAAAAGATCTTAGGGAGGAAAGGGAGAAGATCTGGGGGAAAAAAGGCCAACAGGGAAAGGTGGGGAAAATCTTAAAAAGGAAAAGGGAGAAGCTTTCAGGGGGGAAAGGCCTTAGGGGGGAAAGGGTGGGAAGGATCTCAACAGGGAAACGGGAAAAAATCTTAGGAAGGAAAAGTGACAAGATCTGAAAAGGCCTTAGGGGGAAGGGGGGAAAGGATCTCAACAGGGAAAGGGGGCAAAGGATCTTACGGAGGAATAGGGAGCAGATCTCAGGGGGGGAAAGGTCTTAGGGGGGAAAGGGGGGAAAGGATCTCAACAGGGAAAGGGGGGAAAGATCTCAGGGTGGAAAGGGAAAAGATCTCAGGGGGGGAAAGGCCTTAGGGGGGAAAGGGGGGGAAAGATCTTTGGGAGGAAAAGGGAGAAGAACTCAGGGTGGGAAAAGGCCTTAGGGGGGACAGGGGGGAAAGGATCTCAATAGGGAAAGGTAGGAAAAGATCTTAGGGAGGAAAAGGGAGAAGATCTCCGGGGGGAAAAGGCCTTAGGGGGGAAAGGGGGGAAAGGATCTCAACAGGGAGAGGGGGGAAAACATCTTAGGGAGGAAAAGGGAAAAATTCTTAGAGGGAGAAAGGGCCTTAGGGGGGGAAAGGGGGAATGGATCTCAACAGGGAAAGGGGGGCAACAATCTTAGAGGGGAAGGGGGGCAAGGGGACAATTCCAAAGGGACGCAAATAAGAAAGCAGGCCTGTAATGTCGGCGGCCTGAGCCGGAGGCGTTAAAATATCAACCCTTGCTAGTGGTTTTCCCTGATGGTCATCCCACGTAAAAGACCCCACATGGCTTTGTCAAAATGAGGGAACGCTTGAAATTATGATATTCCTACTGGTTTCCCTTTTAAAACCCAACCAGCACGGGGCTCCTGTTGAAAGAACACACTCACATACAGTTTGGACCCAATCGAACACGGTGCCAGGCACCTCAATTATGGTTTCGACCGCTGTGCGGATCCAAAAAACATGTGTTCTGCTTAATCCGCGGTCAACATTTATAGTAAAACAAACAAGAACGAAGCGATCTGAACAACTCAGAGACTTCTGAGTCTCCGCAAATCTACGAGAATGGCATCTCTGCATCTCTCAAAGGCATATAGCCGTTGGGCCAAACGTGCGACCCTGGTGAAAAAAGACCTCTGTAAATGTCAGTAAGTCCAACCTCCTCTTCAACCCGTGTGTGAACCAACCTCCAACCAAAATCGACTCTAAGCAACCTCTTGCTGTGCTTCCACCTTGTGCTGTCGAGTGGCAAAAGGCCCCAAAGAAGCAGGGTCTCTGTATGCGGCCGATGGCTTCCGCGGGAGCTTTCAAGGTAGCCCACGTCAGGTTCCTCAGCGCGTTGTTTGGTCATCATGGTCATCCAAAAAATCCCTGTGGGCAGGTAAATTAGTAAAACGACTTCCAGACGTTGCTTGCCTCTAATACTACGTAAGATTGACTGGCGAACAATGTAACGTAGAATTAGAACATGACATGGCTGGTGAACTTCAGGAATATGGTAAAAGGGGCGAAAAACGAGCCCCAGATTTCCAAAAAATGTTCCCCGGGCTTCCTTCGGGTGGCTGAGGGAACCGCCATCAACTTGGACCACCCGAATGGGATTCCCGCATGGTCCGGGCATGGGGCATTGAATCAAGCAAAGAATCCGGGAAACCCTGGAGGTTGCACCCCAGGTACGAAAGGTGGCTACTTCTCCTCCATTTGCTGAAGCCTGCCACAAAAAACTAAAGAAGAATATCTCCAGTAGTCTGGAAAGGGTCCTAACCTTGTCCCAGGCCTACGCTTCTCTGTGCCAAGCATCGCCAGCTTTGTGCTTAGGCGGTTGCCCGACTTGTGGTAATTGGCCACCACATAGTTGTTCACTTCCCAGGGCCGTGGCTTTGTCCATTTGGCGATCGCCCTTGGAAGCTTCTGCACCATGGACACCGCTTCATCGCTCGCGTCGAACGAAATGAAGCTTCGCGCAGATACAGCGAGAGCTTGGAGTAAGAGGCTCAGGCGCAGCATGTGAAAACAAGGTCACCATGGATCACCATGGGGATGTGGCTCAAAATTCCAGGGCTAGGGTTACGCAGGTTTTAGTCTTTGGTTCCACTTACCAAGGTGCCATTTTGGTATACATTTATTTGAGCCACAGCCATCCTGGATGAAGGCAAGAGAAGATGGGGTTTCTCTCGAGCCCAAGCTGATGGTCGTGGTCGCCTATTCCATTGAACACCCAGCTACCTTCAAGACAACCTGGGGCTGGAATCATCAACAAGCAGAGGTTTGAACCCACATCTCTTACAGCCGTGTTCATCCATGGACTGTTCTTTGCCCATCACCAGAAGACCAACAATTCCAGGCTGAAAAATGTTTGCACTAAGCTAGCATGAAACATATCCAACAAATTCAAAGGCCTTGAGCAGTTACCAGCTTTTGCTGTTACCAGCTTTCGAGTTAAGCCAAGCAGCCATTTCGTCAATAGGTTTGCTCGGCGTCAACCAAGGCAAGCTCAAGTCCGACGTAGATTGAGGTACATCGAATCGCGACAAATCAACTGCCACATGCCTAGCTTCCCTGAGCGCAAGGAAGACACAATTTAGCATGAAACAACAATTGGTCTATACTCGGAGAATCAAAAAAAGAGGTGAAGGACTCCAGGAACGATTAAAAGCACAACGTGGACTTGCTTCTCGAAGCGAGCCACACACAGCGAAGCCAGGCTTAGAACGCGGCCAGTCTTCGCCTTCGAATGGCATGGACATCCGAAAAAGTCCAGTTGGGTGAAAGTAGATGGCACAACCTCCCCATTTAGGTTTCATCCAAACAAAACCAAGACGCTCTCGATTGATTTTGAGGCGTTCGAACAGCCACATTTCGAGACGCTCTGCAAGCCCTGGCCAAAAATTCCGGGAAAAGCGCAAGTGGGTCGCTGTTTCTGTGTTTAGGCTGCCCCGTTATAGGCTATTTTGCTTTTGTTCCGGGAAGCCACATTCGGAAAACACAAAAACTTTCGGATGCTTCATCACAGCACCTGGAAATTGACCCAAAAGGTGATGTATGAAACATGGCAAATGTGGGAACAATCGGAACCCCGGCAACGGATAGTTGCTGTGCTCAAAGAGAATGAAGCCGGGCATGAACCCTACTTTACGGAAAGATCATATCGCATTGTGCATTGCGTATGACTCAATCACAGTAAACAGGTCACCCCGGGGCTCCAAATGACCATTTCAGACATGGGTTCAAACAATGTGCCTCTGACTTATGAAGACTTGCGCTAAGGGACTTGTGCTCCTGCGATTGTCCAGTGCTGGTCCGTGTCACTTGTTTTTACAGAGTGTTAATTGGGGGATCTGGGCCAGTTAGAGCAAGTCCATGCATGGCCTTGTGGTTCTCTTCAGGCAGCAAATTGGGTCCTGGACGACTTGTTCAAACAAATCCGCCCCTTGCCTTCAATTAATCAACTAGGGCTTCTGGAAAATTACCTTAAGACGTATTCCTCTGTGTGTTGCTTTGACCAAACTAAGGATTGTGGGCAAATTGGAGAACCCTGGACATGACCTCAACCTCCCCGAAACCTTTTCGGAACCTCCCCAGAACCCTGCAAAAACTTGCAGAGCCAGAAAAGAAAGGGCCCGAGCCAATTTGGAATTTTGAACTGCCCTCGCAATGCTCTCTGGCAAATGGGCTGGTACACATATGGCTGTGGGTCAAAAATAGGTACCCCAAATGGGTGGCCCTGGTAAATGGAAACATGGACTAAAACCTGGGGTCCGATTCCTGGTGGTTTCATTTTGACCCATACCCATATCACGATTAAACACACGTCTGAGAGGCACGACTGAGCCGATCTTGACGAGACCCGGCCGTCGGAGAAATGATCCATTGCGCCCATCTGTTTCTCAAAACTCGGCCAACCCAGAGCTTTCAGCGGAAGAAGGATAAACAACAACTCAGATCTTCCTTCAAATTTGGGTGTGCCGATTTTCAGGTGACCTCCCCGAGCGCAGGCAAGCGCGGCAGGTGAGCCCGACACTTTTCTTGGGGTTGACAAAGATTGGTTGGCTCCCCCCCAAAACAAAAAGAAAAAGAAATGAACGGGCTGCTTGTTTCTTCTTGGTGTCCCTTCAATCCGCCAAAAAAGGGGGCGCGCCAAATCAATCAAAGTCACCGCCATTTCGTCCATGACCGCCCTATGAAAGGCTCCTAACAGCCCCCATCCCCTGCCAAACGAGGGATTCTCCCAACCGCGCCCCCCCCCCCGTCCCGGTCATGATCATTATGTTGCCACTATGCTACATCCGCCAAACAAAATCTCTCAAGGGCAGGTCGACCCGTAGCATTGCCACGCCGGGTGTCCGGGCGTTGGCACGCCTTTGAGCAATACCTCGGCGAGACTTCGCCACGTGCAAAATTCCCCAGAACGCCCACCCGCCGTCCCAAAGCGAAAAAGCATGAAGGCCATAAGCCAAAGGTCTGCAAAGGTTTGGCTCTGAGCCCAAAAGACCGACACACACACACACAAAACAAGAGGAGCGCCTGGGTCCTTAGCCTGAATTCTTTAGGTCAAGGGCTCATCAAGATGGCCCCCAGGAAACCATGATAGTGCATTGCCGTGTGAATTTTGAGGCTCGGCATCATTTTTGGGTTTGGTTTCAAGGGAAGCCAAAAGGAACACCGACATCTAATTTGTGGGACCCCCGAATTGTGGCACACCCATGTTATCTGTAACAAGCAGGCACCATGGGAAAGCGGAAACCGAGATCCTGTGCTCTGCAACAGTGCATAGCGGCTGATGCATTGGGAAACTCATCAGTCCAACTGTTGTCACACCTGAAAGGAAAGAAAGGCTGTGAACAGGCACAAGGGAACATACAAACGACCCTGCTTGTAGGCCGCCAAAACGGGATAGAGCTATGGTTGGTTGCCTGTTTCCCACACACCCCTCGTTTTGACAGCCCAAGGGGTGCCCCATGCTTGTAGAGCCCTGTGCCGCCTGAGCGTGGAAAATGTGAGTCGGTTGGTCTAAACCGTCCAGGCGCTCGTGAGTTGAGAAATGCCACGGTTCCATCGCCTCATAAGGAAATCCGACAAGACACGGGATGCTGATGTAACAATGATTAGTGTTAAAGAAAAGGATGTCAAACAGACTTTGGACCTTGGAAGCGGCTTGGCCTGTTCTTCCAAACCACCTTTGTTTGCTCAGTCTCAAGCACTTCAAATGCCCTTTTCCGAAACCATTCAATTCTCGCGTCCGGCCCCTCACGCGACCGTCCCAGCTGGGGCGTTGGGCCACTTGCCGCAGCGGCCGCAGCGCAGCGCGGCCTCCGAGCCGCAGCGCCCGCAGCCGGGGGCCCCGCGGCTTGCGGAAGCGACGGGCAGCGGCTGCCAGCTGCCGGGGGCCTCGAGAGGCTTGGGCTATTTCTTTGGGGGCCGCCTTTGGATTGGCATTAAAGGGAAACCAAAACGGCAAAGCATGACGGAAAAAATCGGGGTCCCCTTTTTTTTGTTCCACATAAAGCCAAGTTTTGGCTGAAGTGAGAGTAAACCCCCCGGTTTCAAATGCTATCATGTAGCGATCACCCCTATAGGTCAAATTGGAGTAAACATGAAACAAAAAGGACGAAATTGGTCACAGAAGTGATTCGCAAAAAATATATCCCAAAGTGCGGAAAGGCTGGTGAACCAAAGGCGGGTGTTTGCAGTAAGCCAGGAATCCTTGGGAGAACTCTGAGAACAGAAGCTGCTTGGTGATTTCTAAGTTCAACGGATGAATTATAGATCAACCTTGAGAACAACTCTTCGTAGGTCCTCCAATAGAGAGGTACCCTTTGTTCTGTAGTCTATTTTAGTAGGGGAACCCTTTTTCAAAAAAGGGCAAAAGGGCACTACTGGGGGACCTAGCCTTTATAGGTCGTTCCAACTATTCTCTACCACGCGTGTCAAGAACCGCCTTTGGGCCCATCAATCGCCCGAGGACTGTGACTCCTGCCTCAAACCAGGTCCACCAGGCTTTCATGTACTCCTGGAAGAAGTCCTAGCGGCACATGCAATTTCAGTTGCATTTACTCAGTTGTTCAGTGACCCTGAAAAAAACAAGGGAACCCCTTTTGGGGAAGACCATTTTTAGCGGGGCAGCCACCAACAAGGGAAAAAGGGTGCCACTGAACCACTGAGTTTATAGTATATAGGCATTTGGAAAGCAGAATTACGAAGGAAAATGGAAGTGCTATGAGTGTCTCTTCTTCTGAGGGTACCCTTTTCGGAGTTGACTTTTTTTCGGGAAGACCAGGCCACCTCCCCCCCCAAACCCCACTTTGGCGTTCGATTTGGAGACAACTTCAAGTTACCCTGTGGTGTGGATTGGCTTGATGCTTGAGAAGCTAAACCACTCCAGCAGTCCCGAAAGCCACCTGGAACTTACAAGTTACAACCGTCGCCCGCCAAATCCGTGCTTACCTAGAAAAAGAAGTTTTGAGGTTGCCCATGGAAAAGGTGGAAAAATGTGCTGGACGCCTGGGACTTGACGTGTCGCTTTGATGAACGGCGCCTGATGTCTGCGCCTGGTCCAGTTTGGATTCCCGACCACAAGAACCACACACATGCTCTTTTTGTAAAACAAATAACAAATGGGTGTCTCTGTTTGAGGGTACCCCTTGCTCAACTATAGCGGAAAAGGACACCCAAGGGTGCCCCGAGTTTTAACGGCAATGCCATATGGGCACATGGAAGTATCCCTCTAATTAAGGAGGTTGACTGCCAAGCCGAAAAAGGTCTTTTCTCGGCCCACATCTGGGGTACGCAGAAGCAACGTGTTCTTCTGATGCTTCATATTTCGTATACCCAAACATCTAAATGGCCATGGGTCAAAATCCCGTACCCCCAGTGAACATTCCAATCCCCCACAAAAATAGGTCCTAAAATGGGTGGTGAATTCACCTACCCCAAACTGGGATCCCAAAACGGTTTTGACTACCACAGCCAAATAGTTCAATTCGGCCCCCAGTTCCACCATCCGCTCTCGACCTCGTTGAAAACCGCCGACACCACACGGCTCCTTCTCCGGCGGCTTCTCTGGCAGGCGTACCTGAGGTCCAAAAACCGAACCGGGTCCATTCGAGTTGAAATGGTCAGGATGAACCCATACCGCAAGCAGGGAGATTCATAGGGACCTTTTTGAGCCAATGGCAATGAATTCGAATTCCATTGGTGGAACCCTCAATAGGACCCACCATGAGGTCCACCCAAGGGTCCAAATTACATAAATTATCTAAAATTCACTCCTGTATGAGTGCTTCTCAAAATGGTGGGCCCCCATTGATCAGTCTTCAAATGGAAACCAACAGGAAACCCACAGGAAACCAACAGGAAGCCACCAGAAAACCAAAAGGAAACCAAAAGGAAACCAAAAAGAAACCAAAAGGAAAACATAAAGAATCCAACAGGAAACCAAAAGGAAATCAAAAGGAAATCAAAAGGAAACCAAAAATAAAATCAAAAGGAAACCAAAAGGAAACCAAAAATAAAATCAAAAGGAAACCAAAAGGAAATCAAAAGGAAACCCAAAAGAAAATCAAAAGGAAACCAAAAGGAAACCAAAAAGAAATTCAAAAGGAAACCAAAAGGAAACCAAAAAGAAAATCAAAAGGAAACCAAAAGGAAACCAAAAGGAAACCAAACAGAAAACCAAAAAGAAAATCAAAAGGAAACCAAAAAGAAAATCAAAAGGAAACCAAAAGGAAATCAAAAGGAAACCAAAAGGAAACCAAAAAGAAAATCAAAAGGAAACCAAAAAGAAAATCAAAAGGAAACCAAAAGGAAACCAAAAGGACACCAAAAAGAAAATCAAAAGGAAAATCAAAAGAAAACCAAAAGGAAACCAAACGGAAACCAAAAAGAAAA